TACTCTTGGAAGAATACACTGAATATGGGTATATTTCTGTATTACTCAGATGTAACAAACAGAAACCTTCATTCAAAAAGGTTTCCTTTTACTAGTGTCCCATCCACAGCTCAGGTGCATCAGGTGGGCTGCAAGACTCTTTCCATCTTTTGCCATGGTGCTCTCAGGAAAGGAAAGCGAGGGGTGAAGGGATGCATCAGTTCTTCAAAATCCCAGGTAAGGGAGTTGGCATTTAGCCTAGCAGTTAAAATGCCTGTGCCTGACATCAGAGTTAGATTCCTCGTGCTGGCTCTTAACTCCAGTTTTCTGCCAATACAGACCCTGGAGGCAGTCATGATAACTAGGTTCCTGCCAGCCACATGGGACATTTAGGTTACATTCAAGCCCCTGGCTGTAGCCAGGCCCAATCCTGCCCATTGTGGAGATTCAGGGAGCGAACCAGAAGGTGGAAATGTGCTGTCACCACCCCCCCTACACACCCCAATCTCTCCTTCTTCTCAAATAATGAATACTGTAATCAATACACAATTATTCTTAAGTGCTGAAACTTAACTGAAAAGTGATCGCTGTTAAATATAAGAGTGGGAATAAGAGAGGGAAGAGATGTGCAGTTCGGGACATGCTCAAGCTGACTTACCTCAAACGGTAGAGTTAGAAACATACCAGGGGATTCCAATTCAACCCCAACGACGTGGCATGTACCAATGCCATCTCACTAGTCCCGGTGATCAATTTCTGTTCACAATTGATCATAATGATAGGACTAAGAACCAAAGGGATCACATAAACAAGACTAGTGTCTGCAAATACTAGCTGATAGAATAAAAAAGGGAGAGAATGATCCAACATGGGAAGCGAGATAACAGCAGACCCATAGAATGGCAGATGTTCTAAACAGCACTCTGGCCTCAGAATCAGCCCTTAAGGCAGGCGGATCTGGCTGAAAAGCCATGAGAGTATTTCAGGCATGGAAAGCCAAGACACTCTGGAAAAAAAAAAAAAAAAAAAAAACCTAAATGAGAGATCTCCACGAGTAAGATCCCAGTGGAACGAACGGGTCATCAAAGAAGGAGGTACCTTTCTCTGAAGGGAGGAGAGAACTTCCACTTTGACCATGGCCTTGTCTAAATATGATCAGAGTCGGTGAACTCAGGGGGCTTCCATAGCCTTGGCAGCTCATGACAAGAGCCTAGGGTGATTACTGATGCCATAACGAGAGTGTCAATTTGTTAAGTCAACAACAGGAGTCACTGTGCACTTACTCCTCATGTAGGATCTTTGTCCTTAGTGTGCTGTACATTGAGATTTAATGCTATAACTAGTACTCAAACAGTATTTTTCACTTTATGTTTCTGTGTGGGAGCAAACTGTTGAAATCTTTACTTAATGTATGCTAAACTGATCTTCTGTATATAAAAAGAATCGAAAATGAACCTTGATGTGAATGGAAGGGGAGAGGGAGTGGGAAAGGGGAGGGTAGCGGGTGGGAGGGACGTTATGGGGGGGAAGCCATTGTAATCCATAAGCTGTACTTTGGAAATTTATATTCATTAAATAAAAGTTTAAAAAATTAAAAAATAAAAAATAAAATTAGGTCTGTGTCAGACGCGGCACTCATTACTTTCATTCTTGTCCTGGTTTGTGACTAGTAAAGCCAGAAAACCATACTTAGATACAAGGAAGTTGGGACATTCACTACCCAACTGAGCAACTATTTTCCAACTAATATTCCACAGTGTGGGCGATGCAACAAACTTCAATAGGCAATTAGCTATCTTTCCCACAATGTTCTTTTTCCCTCTAGAGCATACCCTTGAAAGGCTTGTCCTCTTCCTGGTTCTTTGGTGGGGTTTCTGATAAGTGAAATGTGCTATATGGCTGAAGTACAAGATATTTAATGGTAGGCTATTCTTTCCCCTTGATATGAATTTGGCTGTGACTGAAGCAATTACATCTCAAATTCTTGTCCACTTGTGCAAAAGCTGTAGCAGGCATCTAAGTGGCTATTCTTTTTGCTTCCCAATTCCTAACTATAGGATAGCAAATGATTTATGTTGACAGTTGCAAATAAGGTTACTTACTTGAAAGCTTTTTTTGTAGCCTTACTCTAATAATCTTTGTGTTTTTTTTTTAAGAATTTATTATAAATTCCATGAATGAAGCAATGCTCTTTGTATTAATTACCTACAAATTCCATGTATCAGGGGAAAATATATTACATTTTAAATTTTAAATTACTTAGCAAACATGGATTGCACCTGCTATGTATAAGATGCTATGCTAGACTCTCAGGCTATGGGCTACGTAAACTGTAACTTATTACAGTTCCAAAACTCCCCAGATTTAGATAACATAAAGAAAGATAGCTTTCCTTAGATTTTCTTTCACCTTTCTCTTTTTCTCAGGAAGGAAGGAAACAAAGAAGAGAGGGAGGTGGGAGGCAGGGAAACTCCTAAGTATTCAGAAACCCAGGCCGGTAGAGGGCAGTGCACCCGCACACTCTCCCACTGGCACCCCTGCACAACCAATAAATCTAAGTAGCGAGAACAAGGTAGAAGCTCTTTGCACAGTATGCAGTACGTGGCAGGCACACAAGTGACTCCTTTTTTAAAAAAGAGACAGCCAGGCAAGGGAACAAATATTGAGAAAAAGGCAGATTTGCCTTAAATAAAATTAGTATTCTGAAAGCTAACTAAGAACAACCTAATTTATTCTTCATGTCTTCGTAATTGTTTTAAAAACACAGTGTACACAGGCTGCAGTTTTCACTTATGGTGCAAACACTCTATAATTCAGCTCTATTATCATATTACTGTGTTTGATTTGTTTTCTCTGAACTCTGATGCAACTATGAAAATGAGAAAATCAAGTGTAACATTTTTCCATCAGTGAAAATAGAGATAGATGGAACATAATTATTAAAAGTGTCATGTACCTTAGTCACCCACATGCTTAAACAAATTGTCCAGTTCTTCAGTACATTGTAGCCATAAAAGAGAGCAAGAGATAAGCTCTAACTCATTAACACTGTATGAAATCATTCAGTTTATTAATAAAAAACATAAGGGAGGTTTATAAATAGCATTTACAGGAAAAAAAAGTGTACATTTGCTGTTAATAAATTGAGGGCAAAAGTTTTTCAACCTGCAATACTCCTACACACACAGGTGGTGCATTGTTTTATAATTACGGTCTTCAAAGCAGAGAACTGCTAAATTAGCACATCTAATGAAATCAATACATTCCAGGGTGCAAAGAACCCTTGTGAGGTCTGCAAGGCAAACTATTTAGCATGGCATGGCTGCCCTTCCTCTCCAGAGAGTGCTGATTCATCACCTTTAAGTAGATACCTAATGATTGAGTATCTATTACTGAAAGAGTAAGTAAGGTACAATATTAACAAGCTTCATCAGTCCTGTATAAACAAAAAGAAAAAAAATCCCCTTTTAGTTGGGGGTAGCAAGTTTTTCTGGCAACATTAGTAAAAGAAATTGTTTCACTCTCCACTTTCCTCAATGAGTGCAATTGAGGTGAGTAAATAATGACAAAAAAAGGCAAAAAGAGAAAAATAAGACATTTTCAGGAACTGTGGGTCACATAAGATATTTTATCTCTCCTTCCACTAAGGTTGCAGCGCATCGAATTTTCATCTTGACATTTGGGTTTTTAATACTGTATTGGGTGTCGGAGTAAACATTTGTCACACTTTCAGATCAATTTCAGAAGGAAAAATCAATACTTTAAAAGAATATGTGTCAAAATGCCCCTACCCCTTTTCCACTTTGAACTTTTTCAAGCTTTAAAAAGTTTCATCAATTTCTTCCTTCTAAAAGTTAAGTGCTTCTTTTCCCTATTTCATCAATTCTTGAAAATGGAAAAAAAAAAAAGAAATATTCAACCTGATAAAGGAGAGAAAATGGGTTCCCATAGCTTGTAATCTCTGGTAATGACAATTTCCTGAGTGGCAATTCTTGCAAAAATATGCATTTGGGAAGAAGTTGCATCTGAAATGAGCAGCTTAGGGAAAGTCCAAATTCAGCCAGAAGAATCACATTAGCAACCAAGTTCCCTTCTAGCACATAAGGGAGAAAATAACTAAAAAGTGCTGTACCAACAGCAATTTCGCTTAACAAGCTTTTTAAAAATAATGGAACCTAATGACTTTGATTTCGTGGAAGGGCTTTAAATAATTCACTTCCCCAAAAATAACTCAAGAAAAGGTACAATGTCCCTGGATTCGAGTTTGAAATGTTCTGATTTGTGGTGAAAGTTTGGGGAAGTTTAGTTCAACGCCCTGTCTGAAATGAAAACCTTCTGCATTTGCTTCCACTAATTTTGCCTTTGCCTCCACTTCCCCCCACAGCTTTAAGTCGGTCAGTTCTGAAGATCGTGTTGATGATGCTCAAGCTTCATGATTTCTCATTAGGAGCATGGATAAATCCTGCAAAGTCATGTACCCTGTGGCGCTCCCAGCTCGCGACGATAAGTATCTGAGGAGCACTTTACAGCGTGCCAAGTACTCTTGCCATGTGACAGCTCCTGTAAGGCACAGTTCTGTGATGCAGGCAGTGCTATCGCTGTTGAACAGTGAAACATAAGACACTTACAAACAGATAGATGTTAGTCTACTCAGTCGACTAACTCAGGCGTGTAATCATAACCTTCCGTGCTGTTGAGTCAGCTGCTTTCTGTATGTCTGATTTTTCTCTCTTCTATACTGGCTTGTAAAAGTTCCTGAAAGTCATACGATATATCTGATAGATTAC